ACCCAAGACCACAGCGGTGCCGAGGCCGCAGAGGGGACTGATTTAGTGCCGAGGACCCTGGCTCCCGAGGGCAGCCGAGAAGCTTGAGGCCCCCCTCCTCATCCCATACTGCCCACTGACCTGTGATGTCTGAAGCTAGGACCCTCACTCAGCAGTTACAGAACCCGGTTGCAGACAGGAGCCCGGGCTTTGGAGGCAAAGCCGGCCCGACTCTGCCACTGAACCCTTGAGGAACTGGCTTCACCAGCTGCGCCTTGGTTTCCTCCCCCACAATCCCTCCACTGTCCTGGCCCTCTTCCTCACAGGGCCATGGTAGGACGCAGAGCAAAGAACAGTGTCTGGGACGTCCATGCCCTCAGCATCCCCTCTGCGGCCTCAGCATCACTGTGGTCTTGGTGTCCCATATTCTGGGTTTGACTGATTGCTTCCTCCTCATATTACCTAAAAATATTTTTTAAATCAAAAGCTTATTGAAATGTCATAAGCACAGTCCAAAGAACTGTTGAAAGTAGGCCATCGCCCTGGGTATTTGACAGGTTTCCCACCAGCGAGGCCTCCCTCCCACAAACTGTGATTCAGCCGTCAAAATCCGGAAGTCAGTGGTGGTGAACTGTTACCCAGAACCCTCAGGCGCTGTGAGCATTTCAACAGTCTTAGCATCTCCTGAATGGTGAAAGAGGCCAGCACAAAAGCACATGCTATGTTAGTCAGCATGACTCTTCCACCTCCTTCAGTCTGGAACAGGCCCAGACCTCCCTCAGCTTCCACAGCTTTGATGCTTTGTTTGTTTGTTTTTTGTTTTTGCTTTTGTTTTTGTTTATTCCTTTTTGAGACAGGGTCTCATTCTGCAGTTCAGGCTGCCTTGAACTCACTTTGTAGCCCCGAACTCTCAGTGATCCTCCTGCCTCAGCCTCCTAAGTGCTGGGATTACAGGTGTGGGCCACCACACCTAGCTGACTGATACTTTTAGAGGGTAAGCTGTCACTGTGTACAATGCCCCTCCATTTAGCTTTGCCCGATACTTCCTTATAGTTGGACTCGTGTCATGCATCTTTGCCAGGAATATCACAGAGGAGATTCTGCAAGCTCACTGACCTCTGCCGGGTGGCTCAAGATTTCAGTTTGTCCTTTATGAAGGTCACCTTGCTCACTTGGCTTGGGCAGATCCAATAAGCTTCTCTGCTGTGAAGTTCCTTATTCCCCCCATTTGTAATTATTAAATATTTTTTTGCTCTTTTATTTGAAACTGTTTAAATATACCATTCCTCTTGAAACATTCAAGATATCTATTTATGTATATATTTGTATCAGTTTGGACTCAGGCTTTCCTACTTCAGGCACACTGCAGTCCTTTACTGCCGCTGCTTTGATGGTGAACCCCCCAGCTTGGTGGGGAGCAGCTGGGTCTTCTCATATGTCCTGATCCTCCCTTGGGCTCTTTTCTGTCTCAGCCGGGAGGCGTCCAGAGCCATTCTGTGCTCTCGGTCACCTCTGCGAGGAGCAGGCACCTGGGTGTGCGTTGTTGGAGCGCTGCTGTCAGCAGACGGATGAGGGGATGTATGCATTTACCTGGCGTATCTGTACTTTACACAATGTATCTGATGTGTTTACAATATTATATGTCTGTATAATTCCTGTATCGTTTATTTAGCCTATTTTTTAATTTCTGAGTTTACTGAGTGATACTGAGAACTATGCATTGAAATCAGCGCTTCCCACTCATACTCACCATTTACAAGTCCGTTTTTGTTCCCTGACTTTTGTAGCTGTGACTCCCTCCCCTACAGCAACACCCCACTCCCACTGTCCTTAGTGCAGTCATTGATTTGCTCAGACGCCCTTCAAGCCCAGCCTCCTCCAGGCTGCCGGCCCCTCCCTGTGGGTTCGCCGCTTTGCTCCCACGGATGCTGACTACCCAGAGCACAGTCCCTCACCCCTGCCCCGCCTTACCCCGCGCAGGTGTGGACCCTTGCCCCGGCCACCACTGGTCTGAGCCACCCCTGGCTTTTGGGCTGAATGATAAGGAGAGAAGCATGCAGGTTTTAAGCTATGGAAGACACACTGGTAAGTGATGCTGCGCAGAAGTGAAGCAAGACACAGCACCATGGGCTGGGAGGAGCGGAGTGGTAGCGTGCCTGCCTGGTATACACCATCCCCAGCACCACAACAGGTAAACGAATGCGTGGCACTATCCCAACGGTGTAGCCAGCTCAGATGGCGCACTGGGCTTTCCCGGGTGGAAGACAAAGAGCAAGTCCCTGTCACTGAGCAGCTCTTGGACCCTCAGCCCGGCCCACCCCCGCAGTCACGGGGGCTCTGTGCCCCAAGAGCAAGGGCACTTGAAGGAGCACAGGAGGACGGCCCTCACATGCGTGCAGCACCTCGAAGGGTGCCAGCAGCGAGGCACCTCGCACAAACCTTAGCTGTCCAAGTTCAAGGAGCACAGAGCCAGGAGGGGCCCCCTGGATACCCACCACGGTCACCGCAGCATGGCCACATCTGAGGCTGCGGTGTCCCACCCAAAGCTCAGCCAAGCATTTTGCCATCGCCCCTCCAAGGAGTGAGAGCAGGACGAGGCGGGGCAGTCCTGCATCCAGCACAAGCCGACCTACACCAGTGCTCCCGCACTCTGCAGATGGAGGAGCAATTGCAGCTGCTTGAGAACAACATGGAAAGCTACCTAGCATAGTGCACGAAAGGACCTAGGACTCAGAAACCTGAGGAGAACGGTAAAGGCGGAGGAGCAGCACGGGGCAGGGACAGGAGTATCCCTGTCAGTCATCAGTGGGAGGGCTGCCATCTCCCACCTGTCCTCAGTGCAGTCCCAGGTCCTCGGCCTTGCGGCCGTGGACATCCTGGGCCACCCAGGTCTTTATTGTGGGGTCTGTGCTGTGCATTGTGGAAGGTAGCTTGGCCCAGGGTTAACCATCCTAATGCCATTTAGCATGAGCCCCTGAATACAACCAAAACTGCCTACAGATGTGGCCAGATTTCCCGGGGACAAGATCACCCCTGCAACCTGAGATGGTTCTCAGGAAGCCTCAGCTCCACTAACAGGGCCCAACTTTACTCTTCTCAAGAGCAGGGACGGCCACACCTTCCCGGCCACAGGCACGTGGAAGGCGAGCAAGTTTGTTCCTGCAGCTGTCGGACCCAGCAGCGACAAAGGCTTCTCACAGGGCTGGGTGGGAGTATCTAAGCCAGTGCTGCGAGCCTATGATGCATGTGCTACAATGGGCTGTTAGTATCACTGAAAGCACCAAAAGGTCCGCTGTCACTGATAAGCACTGACCAGCTGCTTGATTTGAGAACAGTCACCTCTGACTGGGATACAGTGCTCATCAGTACACTAAGCACCTCTGGTGCGGTTGAGATTCCAGCTGAGGGGCTGGGGATTTAGCTCAGCGGCAAAGCGCCTGCCTGGCAAGTGCAAGGTCGTGAGTTCGGTTCCTGGTACTGGAGAAAAAAACCAAAAACAACAACAACAACAACAAAAAAAAAACCAAGAGATTCCAGCTGAGGACTTGGCTGTGAGCTACAAAGCGCAGTGAGGGGCTAGTGCCAACCTTGGGCAGAGTTTCAGTACCGTCTGCCGGGGGCTGAGGGGTGGGCAGGAAGCAATGCTGCCCCCTGGCTGTGTGCTTACTGAGTGTCGGGCTGGCATCCGTGGAGGCCCAGGGCTGGGACAGGAGCCTGGCATAGTTCCCACAGGGAACACTGGGCTGTGTGCTTGCTGGTGTGATCTAGCTCACACTAGTCACCTTCTCAGAACCTCCGTGTGCAAAAATTATATTAGACACAGCTGTGTCTGTGTGTTATCATGCATTGTCTGTGCTCTAACTGGTCATTCGGCATTGAGTCTCAGGTCATCTGGTTACAAAGGCATTTACCTCATCTCCAAAGGCCCCCCTGGGTATGCACAAATGCTTCATTGTAATTCATATTATTATTTATTTAAGTATTAATGTCGGGACTGGGGATTTAGCTCAGCGGCACAGCGCCTGCCTGGCAAGCGCAAGGTCATGAGTTCAATTCCTGGTACCAGAAGAAAAACAAAAAACAAAACAAAAAAGTATTAATGTCAATATATGATTTATTTATACTTAATTATGTATTAATACGATTATTACAGCTTAATATGTCTGTCATGTGTTGTAATGGACCCATAAAATGCATCCATCTGGCTGACAGTTTTAACTGGGGCTTGGTCTTGGGGTAGGCTTATATTAAAGTATCCCGGAAATCATGCCAGGGCTTATTTAGGGGAAGTGTGGCACCTGCGTCCACAAACCAGCTCTCACCACCATCCTGCTTCCCGGCAGAACCGCTCAGCAGAGCTTGCTTTTGTCCATTACTGTCCCTTCTCAAAAGTGCCTGTGGCCGTGAGAAGCCTGGCTCGGCCCGGCACTGCCTCTGGGGACACAGCCCTGGGCAGCCTGACCAGCAAGAGGTGGGGGTGGACAGATAAGCTCCACAAGCCCCGCTCCCGGAAGACTGAGCCCGGTGCCCCTCCCCCACCTGAAACTCTGGCAGAATGGAGCCCTGGGTCCCCACAGATGCTCAGACCTCGGATGGCCACCATAGCACTGTGGAGCTGGCCCTGGACAGGCATGGCGGCGCCACACACAAGGCAGAAACAGGAGACGAGCAAGCTCTGGGCGTTCTGAGGAAGGGGCGCCAGGTGCACAGCTCACCCTGGTCTGACTGCAGGCCCCTCCTCAGCTGCTGAGCACAGACAGTTCCCCACAGGGATTCTCATCCGAGTCACGGTGCAGGGGAGGGGACCAGGGCCACAGAGGTGTAGGAGGGGAGAGGGCCAGAGGCGGTCGTCCCTGGGTCCATCCGTGCCTGGACTGCGGGTGCTGGGTGGCTCCACGCCCTGTGACAAAGGCCTGAAGGGCTGCAGGTCCACGGTGAGTTGTGCAACCAAGCAAGCGGAAAAGCCTGCTCAGCCCGGGCTGGAGGAGAGGAAGTATCCCAGGGTTGCCTGTGCCAAGGTGCGGAGTGAGCCAGCCCTTGGCTGGCGGGCAGGGCGGTGTCTCTCAGAGAAGCCAGTCTCTCCGCTGCCTGTGAGGATCCTGAGAAGCCCTGTTCAGGAGAGCACGCAGGAGGTGACAGGTACCCTCTGCATAGTGCCGGGGAACAGGAGGCTGCCCAGGAGTGCTGGAGCCAGACTCCTCCTGGTGTGGCCAGTGTGGCCCTCACAGCTGGGAGAGCTCCAGTGCCAGCCCCCTCTCCACAACCAAGGGACAGGGCAGCATGAGCTGGTCAAGGCACACGGGCAAGATCCGGAAACGTCTGGAAGATGTCAAGAACCAGTGGGCCCGGCCAGCCAGGGCGGACTTCAGTGACAATGAGAGTGCCCGGCTGGCCACAGATGCCCTCTTGGATGGGGGTCCTGAGGCCTACAAGCGGGTGCTCAGCCAGGAAGGCGAGGTGGACTTCCTGTCCTCGCTGGAGGCCCAGTACATCCAGGCCCAGGCCAAGGAGCCCCACTGTGCCCCAGAGGCTGCAGGAGCAGCCGAGGGCGGGCCTAAGGGACGGGACTCCTGCTCCCTGCAGTCAGGAACCTACTTCCCCCTGGCCTCCGAGGGCAGCGAGCCAGCCCTGCTGCACACCTGGGCTTCCGCCGAGAAGCCTTACCTCAAAGAGAAGTCCAGCGCCACTGTGTACTTCCAGACAGACAAGCACAACAACATCAGGGACCTCGTCCGCCGCTGCATCTCCCGGAGCAGCCAGGTAACCAGAGTGGAGCCCGGGGCTCCCGGGTCAGGGGGGCAGGAGCTGGTGGAGCAGAAAGAGGGCTGTGTCTTGTTCTCAGGGGCAGAGTCCAGAGGACGGGGCAAAGGATGGAACCGGGCATCGCTCTCTGCCTTTTCCTGGCTGTGGACTCTCAGTCCCACTGTCTGGGTCCAAGCACTGCTATCCCTCACTGCAGCTCTGCTATCGTGTGCTACCCAGCCCTCCTCCGTCTGTATCTGAAAACCAGCCAGTTCCCGGCTGCAGCAGAGCTTTTCCTTACACACAGCTCTAACTCGGTCCCTTGCCTGCTCAGAGCCCTCCATGACTCCCACCTCCTCCCACCTGCGCTGTAGCCCCAGTGTCTGGCTCAGGCCTCCGTCTGCACGCACGTCTCCGCTCTGCCTGCCCCACCCCGACTCCTCTGCTTCTGCCCAACCAGTGCCATCCTAGGGAGCATTTTCTGACCCCTCAGGCCGGGTTAGGCATGCGTATCAGTGCTTCCAGAGAGGCACGCCCTGCCCTTGCCCTCTCCCAACTTCCTGAGACCTGCCAGCCCACAGGTGACACTGCAGGGCCCAAGACTCCTGGTGTCCTTCAGTATGACAGGCGGTCAAGAGTCCAGTGCCCCATACACTCAGCCCTGGGTGGCCGCTTTCACCCGCTGAGAAGGGTACAGGACTTGCAATGGGGGGCTCGTCCTGCCCAGGGCACAACATGCCCGTTGGCTGTGGACACACACACTGCTCCAAAGCAGAGAGAGACAGAGGCAGGAGTGGGCTCCAAAGAAGGAAAATGGTCATCTGTGAAGACCGATTTTCTCCCCAACTCCCATCACTTATTCTGTGACTTTCAGAAGCGCTCGTAAAAGCGCATGCTGTTATTTCTGCTCCTTTTCCTTTCTGATTTTTTTTTTCCTTTTTTGAGACAAGATCTCTCTATGCAGTACAGTCAGACCTTGAACTCACAGTGATCCTCCTACCTCAGCCTCCTGAGTGCTGGGATTTATAGGTGTGTGCCACTGTGCCTAGCTTTTAACTCTTTTTTTTTTTTTTTTTTTTTGCCAGGGTCTCTATCTCCTAACTGAATCCCCTCCCAGGGTCATTACTGTGTGATATCCTAAGGTTCTGGGAAAAGCCCCCAGGGTGGGAAGCTGGGTATGGAGGAACTGAGGGAATGGGTTCTGAAAAATTAAAAGGAGGGTAGCACCAGGCAGAGAGGCTCCGTCCAGCTGGCTGCTTCAGAATAGCATTTCACGTTCCTGTGGCAGAGCAGCCTCAGAAGCTGACAGATGAGCTGGGCAGGCTGCCTGGGGTCACCGGGGGCAGCTTGCAGGCCTCCGGCAAGTCTCCTGAAGTCCAGAGCCTGGCTCCCTGCTGGAGGGAGTTCTCTCTGCTCCCAAGGCCTGTCCCTGAGTGTGCTAGTGCTGGCCTCCTTGTGTGGTGTCCCTGCTGTCCCAAGTATGGGGACAAGAGTGCTAGGGAGTCCTGAACAGCACCCACAGCTCCCTGAGGGTGAGGACTGTGCAATACAAGTCCCCTGCCCTCCTTCCCTGTCCCCACCAGCCGGGCCCCCTCCCCTCTGTGGCCCTGAGGCTGAGGGTGTCCTGTTGAACAACACAGCATGTTTTGAATTTAGGAAAACGCTTTAAAAATCAGAAGATGTTACTTAAAAAGTAAGACTGTCCAGCCCCCCTTTGCAGGAAAGGAAATCTGGCTCTGTGGTGCCAGGCGGTGGCCTCCTCTTTGTCACACACACACACACACACACACACACACACAAACGAGGACCCCAGGAGGGCCTGAGTCCCCTGCCACACACTGTCCCCAGACACAGATGGATGGAGGAGAGGGAAACCATAGATGTGAACTCTGTCCTGCGGCCTCAGGCCCTGAGAGGCAGGAGGGAGACAAACAGCAGCCGGGGGCCCACCGAGGTTTCCAAGTGGTTCTGCTCCCAAGAGGAATCTGCCTCCTTTTCCTCAGACTGGGGCTCCTTTTTGCCTTGAAGCCCAGGATGGCAGCAGAGTGGCACAGGCCCCCCTGCTTCTTGAGGAGCCTCTGCCAGCCCCTTGGGGGCAGGATAGCAGAGGACACTGGCCACAGCGCGGACTCAGGCAGCTCAGGGCCTGGAGCGCGGTGGGGAAGTAAGGCAGCTTCCTGCAAGAGGGGGCCTCTGAGGGGGTTCCGCAGGCTGAGTAAGAATTTGCCAGGCAGAGAGGGAAGGGGAAGGAATTCCGGGAGAGGGAAGAGCGAGTGTAAAGCTTAGGGTGGTAAGAAGGCTCACGGGTCCTGGAGGTGGGGAGACATTGTCATCCACCTGAGGGCCTGGAGCTTGGGGATGTGGGACTCCAAGGAGTAAGAAGGTGGCAGGGGCCAAGGTTGCCTGAGGGGGCCCTTCGGCCCAAGCGGGGAGCAGCAGCTCCCAGCCATGGGTCCCCGAAGACCTTTGGGTTGTGTGAGGCTCTTGTCCTGATTACATCATAAACTGGCACCAGACAGTGTCGGACTTCTCATCCAACTCTGTCCAGGGTGAACAGATCCCGCAAACTAGGTACCTGCAGATGTACAAGTAAGAAAAAATCAAACCAAGAGAGCCCAAATCCTGTGATCAGGTGCTAGCAGCCTCTAGGACTGACTGACTCCTGATTACCATCTGCAATAACTTTTATTCAGAATCAACCCAGGAGGCAGCAGAAAAATTGGAGGATATCAGCTGTTTTAGCGAGGACAGTACAACTCAATTATCATAGGAATGCGACCTGACCAGTAAGCCATCATGTTATCTTCCTTCGCGCATGTCTCAGCAAAACATGTAGTATTGATCCCGGGGCTTACAATGCTTATGCTGGACTTCCTCCAGAACCCAACAATCACGGCTTGGTCAGGCCTCAGCCAATACACAAAATAGTAACTGAGGAATGTCCTTCTCCACAAGACAGCACGGGTGGCAGACGAGGCAGACAGCACAGGGATGAAGGAAAATGGAAGACAGGGGCTGGGGTGCAGCCTGGTGTAGAAAAGATGTCCAGAACACGCAAGGCCGAGGTCCCATGCCCAGCACTGCATTGACAGACACACACACAATGCAGGTATATGGGGGGTGGGTCTTTTTGTCAAACCTGTTACTTTATGCTAACATGCAATGAATTACTATCAAATTTTTTAAATAACTAATAAAACTGTTTCAAAAGCTTCCCAGTTTTAGTTCCTTTTTTGGGGGGAAAGGGGTATTTCTGGTACTGGGAACCAAACTCACGACCTCGCACTTGTCAGGCAGGCGCTGTGTCGCTGAGCTAAATCCCCAGCCCCATTTTAATTTCTAATCTGACACTTTTTTTTTTTTTTTTTTTTTCTGGTACCGGGAATCGAACTCATGACCTTGTGCATGCCAGGCAGGTGCTGTGCCTCTGAGCTAAATCCCCAGTGCCTATGACACCTTTTTCCACACAAACAAAAGCTCTTTGAAACGGTCCATAGATTTTAAGAGGGGAAGAAGGAGTCTTGAGGCCAGAATGTCTGGGGAGTTTACCAGGCAAGCCCAGGGCAAGCAGGAAATTTGGAGTGGAAGCCAGACAGGGTCCCATTCCCACAGGAAACCGGAAGCTGGATCATTTCTTCTTCTGGAATACCCCTGCTTTATCCTCCTTCCTTTAGGCTGTATCTGCCAGACACAGGCAGCCATCGCTGTCGGTCCTGTCAGCCTGGAGCAGCACAGTGGGGCCTGGCGCCTGCCTGTCTCCTGCCCTGTGGGTTTGGTGCGCTGTCGGCCCCTCCGGCTCCCATCATGCTGCGGTGCGATCAGTATGGCTTGCTCAGGATGAAACTGCTCTGTGGCTGGGGCTCCGGCACGCCCAAACCCCATTTCCCCTCCCAGCCGTCTTTCTGAAGTAGCAGGTTCCGGGGTGCCCGGATTTGGGTGGCCCAGGATGGCCGGGTGTGGGTGCTGCTCCAGGCCAGCCTCCCCTCAAGCACCCTCACTGGAAGCCAGGCTCTGCTTCCCTTCCAGCCCTGCAGAGCCACCCTCCCGCGCACGGCCCTCCCGCCCCGACTAAGGCGGACGCAGTGCTCTCTCCATGCCTGTGGGTGACTCCCCAGAGAATCAGGCACTGGGCTTAATCCAGCCGCACAACCTGGATCCACACTAAATGCTCGTGCCGTATTCGTCTCACATTACCTGCCCTTTCTCGTGAGCAGTACCTATCAAAACGACAGTCATACTTTAACTCTGTTGTAAAAACCACCTCTCCTACATAGCCAGACCCTTTCTCAAAAAAATTAAAAAGTAAAAGTAAAATCCACCTCTCCTTTCTGCATGATCACGCTCCTGGTTCTCCTGCCTGAGAGCCGAGTCTCCATCACTGTGCAGGGATTTCTAGGGAAAGACCTGAAGCCCAGAGAGGCGGTCGGGCCATACTCCCTCCAAAGGCTGCGGGGCACCTGCCTCTCCCTGCTCCAGCACCCTTGGCACCCTCGGCTTGGGGCTGCCAGCTCCAGCTGCACCTCCCTGCCTCTCTTCTGCTATCTCTTGGAGGACACATCCTTGGACCAAGGGCCCCCCGAGTCACCCAGGACGATCTCGCCTTGAGATCCTATACTTACCCCATCTGCAGAGACCCTTCCCAAGTAAGACCACAGTCACAGTTCCAGGGCTCAGAACGTGGACGTAGCTTGGGGGGACCCACACTCAACTCACCACCTCCTGTAATGGGGTGCCACCATGGGGACTGAAGAAGAGTGGGTTAGACCTGTTACTGGTCTCAAATTAACCCAGCAGGCAGCCAACTGTGCCTGACCTTCCAAGCCTCCCCACGCCAGGACCCCGGGTCAGTGCCAAATCTGCCCCCTGCTCGGTGGCCACCTGCTCACCAGCACTGCTGCAGGGAGACGGGGGACTGGCTCTCCATCAGTACTCTGGGAAGGACGCCCTGACCTTTCCACAAAGAGGGCATTCTCTATCTTTGGCGCTGTAAGCCTGAGCATTTGCACACACAGGTACTCCTGTGATGGGTCACCAGCCTCATCCTTAGAACCTTTGTAGACTTCCTGCCAGAGTGAGCTCTACAGGGCCCTCCTTGCACACCTGAGGCACCTGAGTGGAGAGCTACTTCTTAGATCCTGGCAATTTAAAAAATTGTCATTTTTTTCTCTCATTTAAAAAAAAATTGTCATTTTAGGAAGACAGCAGAACATTATTAATTACAGTTAATGTTGAAGAAGGAAAGGTCCTTATCTTCCCTTCTGACACGACCGCGAGTTTGGGTTCCGGGCTTGTCCAGCGGCCGAGCTCCGGTCGCAGGCAGGCACACGGATGCGCAGCCATCGTGTCCTGTTTTCTTTTTCACTTACTTGTTAGCACGCAAGCACTGAGCACTGAATATAGAGAGGGTTTTACTTCAGACCATAAATACCTCATGGTGTCTTTGGCTTCTCCATACCCAGTGTACCTGTCCTTTCAATGGCTCGCTGACACTCTGCCAGTATGCCACAGCCAAGGTATGAGGCTGCACTCTGGACTGTGTGAGGGAAAATAAGCTGAAACCAGCCGAAGGAAGAGGGGCAGGAGCAGGAGCAGGAGGAAGAGGAGGCAGAAGCAGGGGAGGAGCAGGAGGAGACTCATTGGCATTCACAGTGTAAAAGTCAAGGGCTTCAGGCAGGCGTGACGGAACCAGGTGCTCAAATGCATTGTCGGAATCTGAAGCCACGTCCCAGGGCTGCTTCCCCAGGGGTGGCTTCATTTCTAGGCAAGGTCTTACCAAGGGTCAGGGAGATGGGCGTCCGTGGCCAGAGCTTATATGCCATCTGCTAAGCGGGTAGGAAAAGCACCTCCACTTTCACCAGAGACCAGCAGGAGCCCTTGGCCGGTTCTTAGTAGAATAACGCGGATCGTGTGGCCACCCGGCCTACACGTGGCTAGTGGGGACGCTGTGCCTCGCTGGTCTGGCTGTGGTCCTGCGCCTCTCCACGCTCCGTCTCTGACAGGCAAGGACCAGAATGGGTGCGGCCGGCGCAGGGAGGAGCAGCTGCTTGGCAAAGCCCTCCACACACAGTGCACAGTGGCTGTGAGAGGGCAGGCCTCCTCTTCGTCTGCTGGATTGTTTAGGCTCTCTTTATTTGTGGTGCCTCCTGTGGCGTCTTGTTGGATGCACGGACTCCATGGCTTGGAAACCAGTGACCACAGGCTGCCGAGTGTTGCAGAAAACAGACCAAACAAGGAGAAAACAGTCCTGAGGAGGTTAGCAGTTTATCACACCAGTGGGCTTCTGACGGGGATCTCTCCCAGAGAGCCAGAGCCCTCTCCAGCAGGGTTTCCGGCTTTTAAAGGGGAAGTGAGTGGGGAGGTCCACAGGCAGAAATGGCACATATGACTGTAGGGTTGGGTGACATCTGGAGTTGCTGAAGGAATTTCAACATTTCAGGTTACATCACAAGGCCATCAGTTATATAAAGCATGGGCTATGTGGGCATGAAATGTTCTGTTACATTTTAAGTTACATTGTAAGGCCATCAGTTACAAAGGCAGCAAAGGCAGGGGTTTACATAAAAGGAGAGGTGTTCTGTTACTGCCCTGCTGGACATGTCTGCTTGGGCTTGGCAGGCGTCCTGGATAGGCTTTTATTTATTTATTTATTTTCTTCTTCTTTTTTTTTTCTGGTACCGGGAATCGAACTCACAACCTTGCATTTGCCAGGCAGGTGCTGTGCCACTGAGCTAAATTCCCAGTCCCTTAGGCTTTTATTTAAAACTGTAATTTCCCCCTTCACAAGCTGCACACAGCTGAGGACCTGTGATGTCATTTCTACCTCTCCCTTGAGCCCATGCAGACCCATGCTTGTCCTTCTGCTGTCTCTGCACTCCTCCAGTGGCCTCTCTCCCCTGCCCCTCCACTGCCCACTCTACCTGTGGGTTCCAGCAAAGGACAGGGGCAGGGGCCAGGTGGGGCAGGGACTCCAGGCTCCCTCACCTCTTAGAACAGAGCCCAGTCAGACGCTCCCCCTCCTTCTCCCCAACACTCTCCCAGGCCCACTGAGACTGGGGAACATTCCTGAGCCCATGATCTCCGGTCCTGGCTTCTCCAGTGATGCAGCCTTCTGCCCTGGCCCAGGTCCTGGCCATCCTGATGGATGTGTTCACAGATGTGGAGATCTTCTGTGATGTCCTAGAGGCAGCCAACAAACGTGGGGTGTTTGTCTGTGTGCTCCTGGACCAACGAGGTGCAAAGCTCTTCCAGGAAATGTGTGACAAGGTCCAGATCTCTGACAGTCACCTCAAGGTAGGAGCCCTGGTGGGAATCCGAGGGGTGCTTTGTATCAATCAGGACAGGATAGGCTACACTGTGTAATAAATATCCCCCATTCAGGGCTTAACACAGTAAAAACCTACGCCTGCCTCCACTAGTAGCACTGTAAGGACTACAAGTCCTCCAAAATAGTAGTGACAGGAAAAAAAGGGTGGGAGGATTCTGCCAGATGTTGTTAGACGGGAGCTGGAGATTTCCATCATTTCTATTCATAACCCAACGAGTCCGCCTGGACACAGCCTGGGAAGTGTGAGGTGCCTTGGCTTCTGGGGAACAGTATCTCTGGTGCATACTCGTGTCCTCTGGTCTTGGTCATGTGCCCTCCCCAGAAAGAAACCCAGGGATGCACTCCCAGGGCAGGGCCACCTGCAGGACCTGCAGTTCACAGCATGGTGGTGCACACCTGTAATCCCAGCAGTCAGGAACTGAACTCCTCAAACCAGGAGTTTGAGGTTCAGCTGGGCTACACAGTGAGTTCAAGACCAGCCTAAGATTCCTGTCTAAAAAACTCCCTGGCCCTAACAGGAAGTTAATGCTCTTGGATTTAACCAAATGCCCCACTTCCTTCTCCTGGGAGAAAAGAAACTCCGAGGTAAGAGTTTAATGAGCCACAGGAACTTGAGGGCAGCTTTAAAGTCATATGGAAAACATCTAAAGCTGGCATGAGTAGGTTCCCTCGACCAAAGAGCTGATGGTAGCTGCCGGGTTCCTCTGGCTGTGCTCCAGCAGCCAAGCCTAGGGGCAACCTCTGCTGCCCTTCCCAGCCCTTCACACTGATGGGAGCTGAGCTCAGCCCAAGGACCACTGGGGCTGCTTGGTGTCAGCTGGGGCCATACTGCCTTGGTAGGAGGCCTCCCAAAACAGGTTAGGAGAGCCAGCGCTGTCCTGGCCCACACTGGCCACACCTCATGGTCATCTGTTCCCCACCCCCACCATCACACCGGGCCACACAGAAGTGGGAGAAGCTCTCAGAGCCACTGGTGTGTCCTTCCCAGAGCCTGCCCAGCCACCGGCAGACCTCAGAGGGGTCCGGGCAGTGCGCCTCCTCCTGCCACCCCTGGGACAGGTCCCCACACCTCAGCTGCCTTTGCTGCTCCAGCCCTCCAAAGGCTCCAGCTGAGCACCAGCAAGCAGGTGCCACTGGAGAGACAGAGGACAAAGAAAGCTGAGATCGAGTGATGGATACACCTTCTCTTAGGCAACTGGGGTGCCTGGGGCCTTCACAGACCACCCCTCTGGCTGCACTGGGCCATCCTCTGACCAACTTGGAGTCAGGGACTCACATCACTGAAGCCACTTACCAGGTAGGGCTGGGAGCCCTCCCGGGGTCCATGGAGGCCTGGACGAGGGGCTCTGTGGCCATCAAGCCTTTGTCTTTCATTATTTGTCTTGATTGAATTGTACCCTCTTTATTCTTTTCATTGTCGGCTAAATACCAGGACAATGCAGACAATTTAGAATACTCAGCCAAGGAAAAAATAAGAAGGGGCAATAATCCCACCAAGCAGAGCTAAGCAACACTTGTTTAGATCTTACTGAACATATTTTCAGATGTTCTCCTGTGCAAATTGTCTTAGCCTGTTCAGGCTTCTTTCACAGATATCATAGACGACATGGCTTATAAACACCAGACAGTTATTTTTCACAGTTCTGGAGACCAGAAGGTGCACAATCAAGGGCTGGCAGGTTCTGTGCTTGGCGAGGGCCCATGGCCTTGTTCATAAATGGCTGCCTTCTCACCGTCAACAGCTTCCGAGTCAGCTCTCAAAGGCCCTGCTCCAAGCACTGTCACACTGGGGTCGGGGGAGACTTTGGAGGTGCATGCTCAGCCTGTAGCTCCGGTGTGCATCTGTACACATGCAATCAGTAAGCGCCACCCTGACCTCCTCCCCACAGAACATCTGCATCCGGAGCGTGGAAGGAGAGGTGTACTGTGCCAAGTCCGGCAGGAAGTTCGCTGGGCAAATCCAGGAGAAGTTCATCATCTCAGACTGGAGGTTCGTCCTGTCGGGATCATACAGGTGAGCTCAGAGGCTGTCCGTCAAGGCCCCATGGGAGCCAAGGGCCAGTGAGGTATAGACCAGTCCCCAGCTGCTCACATGTACCCTGACATTTCCTGGGGGTCCTCCTCTGGCCAGAGCTGGAGCCTGTCATACAGATGGGCTGGGATGCAGGAAATGTGTTCTTTCAGGGTAGAAAGTCATTTCCAAGAGCCTCATTTTCCCCTGACACTGCAACTGGACATAGAATCCTTTTTCCTCCTTTCAGATCTCTTAGGAATAATTAGAAAAATGATGCAATTTGTTCTGCTGTGTGTGTGGGTATGCTTGATTTCATTTTAAAATTTTTACTATTGTAATATAAGGTGTTGAGATTTATTAATTCACATACTGAAAATGTGCGATTGTCGGCGTTTGCACCCATTCTACACAGCATTCCCATCACTATCAACTTTAGTGCATTCACCACCCGAAGGAGGAACTCGCTGCATCCGCAGTCACTTCCCCTTTCCCTCCAGCACCGTCAGCCTTTCACAGCCAGTCTACTTCCTGGCTCTTTTCTGGACATTTCATATGAACAGAATCCTAACATGTGGTCTTCTATGACTGGCTTCTTCCACTTAGCATGATGTTTTCGAGGCTCATACCACCACATGGACATGCCATGCTTTGTTTATCCACTCATCAGCTAGTGGACGTCTGCAGTGTTTCCACTTTATGAACGCGACTGCTAAGAACACTCATGCGCAGCTTTCCGTGTAGACCCATGTTGTAAATTCTCTTGAGTATATACCAGGTGGAGAATTTTTCAGGTGACAACTCATATAGAAATTTTATCTTTAATGTTTTTGGGAACTGACTGGTTTTTACTCCAAAGTGGCTGCATCATTTCCATTCCTACCAGCAGCGTCTGAGGGTTCCAATTTCTCTGTTCCTAGGCAACACTTACTAGTGGTTTTCTTTTTTGAGCTTGCATTTCTCTGAGACTAAAGATGCTGAGGTCTTAAGCTTGTTGGTGCTTTGCATACCTTCTTCATACAAATGTCTATCTAGATCCTATTTGGGGGGGTTTGTCTGAATTTACATTGTATATTACACACATATACATAAACATATACGTATACATACACCCACATCGGGGTAACTCTTACTCCCTTTCTCTCCCCTTGCCTCAAGGTCCTATTGCTCTGAGTACTCGCACCAGGACTCCCAGTGCGCACGTCTGACCACCCTCTGTCCCAGGAGTGCTGACTGCCTGGGGTTCTGGGTTTGTGTCTCCCAGGGGACCAAGTGATAATCATGTGGTCTTTTGGAGGACATTACCCATACTCAAATCATTGTACCTTTGTTTATAAACTTTCTGTGAAGCATGGGTCATTGCCCCATCCGTGAAGCCAAGCCTGGAGTGAGGAGTCTTTAGCTGAGGAATTCTTGCTCTTTTAAAATTATTATTACAGTGAAATTCACATAACAAAAGATTAACCATTTCCAAGTGTACAAGTCAATGGCATTTAGAATGTTCATGACATTGTGCAACTATCGCCACCATCCGGTTCTGAAGTATTTTCATGACCCCATAAAGAACACCACACTCATTAAGCAGCACTCCTTACTCAGCCCGCCACCACCGTTAGCAACTGCCTATCTGCACCTATTCCAGATGTGTCCGTAAATGCGGCCATACAAGAAGTGCCATCGAGACTGGGGTCCTTCACTTAGTGCGCTTTCAAGGCCGGCCCAAGCCGCGGCGTGAGTCAGGACTGTGGATGATCTTCCATCATGTGAATGTGCCACCACACATTCGCCCACCACTTAGGGGCTTTTTCCACCTCCTGACGCTTGTGCCTTGTAGCAGAGGGTTCTTGCAGAGTCTGGAGACCCCACTCCTAGGCACGTCTCTGGAGCTCAGGCTTGTACTCCGTACAGGGAAAGGTGGCTGGTAGAGCTGAGTCACTGGGGCTGGGGAAGCAATCAGAACAGGTGCCGTCTGAGCAGGGCCCCTGCAGCAGCCCCCAGATGTGATCTGTTCTTTTTTTTTTTTTAAAGAGTAAAAGGACAACAAAGCAGTAAGTGAATTACAGACAAAGTGGTAGGACATTATCAATGGTTGTTATTTTACCTATTGGTATCTTCAAGATCATTTCTCAGGAAAACAAATAGACAAATAATAGTGAGTTACAGACAGAAATGGCAGGAAATTATCAATGGTTGTTGTACTGTACCCTGGTTTCTCCAAAGTGGTCTCTAGGGGAAACAAATATAGCTATATATGAGTGATCAATCAAATAATCATTGACTATTCTCAATGGTTATTATTGCAACACATAGTAACAAACATACATCCATTTACAAAATAGCATAGGAGCAATACAAACATTACAGAGCTATGGACAGGTAGGAAATCATCAATGGCTGCTGCAATACATGTTGGCATTCTCAAAGTGGTTTCTCAGGAAAACAAAGATATGCAAGAAAGTTCCAACAAGTAGCTACAGTCCAAGGGTTGCAAAAAATAGCGGGTTACCTCATCAGTGACTCTCCTCACTGAGGTGTGACGGCTAGAAGGAAGGCCAGGACTGACATGAAGAACTGAGAGACCAGCACAGATGTGATCTATTCTTAAATGGTTGGAACTCCAACAGATCAAAGTTTAGCTGTATTTAAACAATTTTTTCATGCCCTAAAGCTCTTAGGTATGAGGCCCTACTCCAAAGTTAAGATGAGGCTGTTACTTTGGGCAACTTTGGGCCTCCCAGAGTGCCCGAGCTGCCTTACACATGAAGGGGAGTGTGTGTCAGTCAGCTCTTTGTCTCTGTGATTAAACCACTGAGAAAATCAAGCGGGAGGAGGAAACGTTTGCTTCAGAGGGTACCAGGCATGGTCCACTGGCTCCGATGTCCCTGGCCTGAGGGGAGGCAGGGAGAGGAAGGTGCCAGGAGCACACAGCACAGCCACGCTGCTCACATGTGGCAGGAAGTGGAGAGAGCAAGGGACAGGCCAGAGGGGCAGGGGAAGGTACAGTCCCTGTGATGCCCCCGGGACCCTGGCCCTTCAACCTGGTCCAGCTCCTGTTTCCGCCACCTTCCAACAATGGTACCAAAGTAGGATCCCGCCAGCAAATTAATCCACTGAAGACCTTAGAGCCCTCAAGATGGATTGCCTTTCACAACACCCTGAGCGTCGCAGCCGGGGCTGGGGGTGTTCCCGGGGTCCAGACTGCGACAGAGTGCTTAGCTTGGGAGAGGGCCTGCCTGGGAACACAGTGGTTTGCAAACAGCTACAGAGATGGATGCAGAGATAAAATGCGGAGAAACAAGTTCCTGTCATCTGTCACATAATGAGAAGTGAAGGAGTTTAAGGGATTGAGAGCTCTCGAGGCAAAAGAAGCTTCTGAGAGATCAGAACCGGCCTGTGAGGGCAGGGCGGCTCCGCACGATGTGTTTGCTTCAGCGCCTTATGGGAAACAGAATCTCTGGGTTTATCTTCAAGTTCTCCAAGTGTGAATTGTTCCACCTTCTAATCCGCAAATTAGTGTCATGTTCACGTTGGCACCTTATAGATGATGAGCCCCAAGAAAGTCAGAGTCTGAACGTGCTGCTGCGCGTCCCGTTCTGTGCACTCCTTGGGCCTGCTTCCTCCTCACAATAGAAAATAACCGCACTCCGCGGTGGTGGTGACAGCCAGGTAAAACAGCAAGCACGCTGCTTGGCTGTTCGACAACCAGGTGCCCGCCCCAAAAAGGCCATTTAAGCCAAGAGTATTACTTACGTATTCACATTTATTCTGATGACTATACTTCCAATGGCCTCTTGAAAAGTAGCAGTGACTTTCACTAGGGAAGGTGACATCCCACACTTAACCAGCCTCAGCCTGTTGTGCAAAGCAAGGTGACCTTGCTTTCCAGGGGGTCACTACCAAGCTACCACATTGTGCGCACTGACTTTATCATGAGGCGTTACTCCAAGGTCCTTCATATGTCTCACTTTTTCTGCAGGGTGTGTTGGTGTGAAAGCAATAGAGAAACACCCCACCCCGCCACACTCCCCAGCAATCCCTCGAAGGGCCGAGCTGTGTAGGGCTCCTCTCCCCCTGTCCTGTTGGAGCTTCAGGGAAATTAAAATTATAGATAGCCTCGCACCACCAGAAAGCCTCTCCACAAAGGTGGAAGTGAAGGAAGACAGTTTTTATCGTTGTTGCTGTTGTTATTCTACAGCACAGAGATGGAATCCAGGGCCTTCACGCCGAGCTACATCCCCAACCCTTTTTATTCTTTAGTTTGAAACAGAGTCACTCTAAGTCACAATGTTGCCTAGGCTGGGCTCAAGCTTCTGACCCTCCCGCCTCAGCCTCCTAGCGTGTAGGGTTAGAGGTGTGCGCCCCACACCTGCTGAAAAAAGACCCCTTGAATGCTGAGTAAACACAGCCCAAGCTGTGCTGCTATAGAGCGCACAGACTGAGGGAGCCTGGCTTCTGAGCGGCTCAGTGCCCGTCAGGCCAGGCAGTGGCAGTCAGTCCAGTGACTGGAGTTGGGCCTTCAAGGATGAGATTTCCTGGGAGACTCAGGCCTGGGGACCAGCATGACAGGCATGGCCTTCTAACTGGCCCTCCTGTCCCGACCCACTGCTATCATAGGTTTGCTCTCCCAAGGACGGGAAGGGCTCAAGACCTAAGACAAAGCAGAATGAATCACTGCCGACTTTGCTGACCGCCGCGCCAGGGGCACGGGGAAGCACAGCCTCCCAGGGCCGCGGTCCTCTCGCCACGCTCACGCCTGTCCTGGGGCCTCTGCACATGCTTCGTGTTCTTTCTCCTGGAAAGCTCATTCCTGCTAACTCCTCCCCACGCAGTGGCAGCGCAGTGTCACCTCAGAGAGCTCTGATCATTTTGTCCTGCTGTTCCGTGTGACTTGCTCCTCATTACAATTCAGAACTACTTGTGGACTTGTGTAGCCAAAACTGCGAACACCACGCGGGCAGAGACCGCACTGGTCTGTTCTCTTCTTTATTGCATCCTGTCATGAAGTATAGGACTGGCGTCTGACGTGTTATCCACAGCCACAGACGGAGCGGGAAAGGAGGCAGGGAGGGAGGAGGTGCGCAAGGGGCCAGCGTATTAGGTTCCGGCTGACCTGTATGGTTTGAGGACTAAACTCTTTCATACTGCGCCACCCTCTACCACGGGGTGTGAAATTAGTTTAGAGGGAGACTGCCAGAAGTTGGTGAAAATGAAACAAAAAAATAAAAATAAGGGATTTCTGGAAACTTGTGGGACTATGTTCACAGTGTGATCAAAATATTCCATGAATTTTTAAGTTACAAAAATCTACTACCATACCCTAAAACACATTGGCCTCCACCAGCCCCCCAAGCGCTCCCCTCACCTCAGATGCACTGATCTCCCCACTGTTCTGGCCACGGTCTGAAGCAGCTCTGGGGGTCCTCTTTGGGGCCCGTCTGTCCCGGGCGTGATCAACACTGTGGTGAACACGGCTGCCCGGAGCCGTCAACAGAGGCAGGCTGTGAGCACACGAGGGCGCATCCCCATGCACCTCCTCACCAGACCGGGCACCACGTGACTTCCAACTCTTCCCAGGGTCAAAATGACCATGAGACATAAACGTTTGGATTGAGGACAGTGAGGCAGCCCCAATGGCACAACTAAAGCACTCATGAAAGAGGACTTCCAGAACTGCTTCCGAAAGTGCCAGAAATGCAGATAAGTGTGTTCAGCACGGGAGGGAACATTTTGACAGGGATGGATGACAGGCGTCTTTTACTGTAACACGTTCTTCTTTTTTTTTTTTTTTGTAACACATTCTTTAACCTGAACATTCACTGTAGTTTTCGATCACACCTCGGATGTATTTGAGGCTGCGGTAAAACGTGTCTCTAAAACCAACCCAGAGAAACCTGGAGACACTAAACAGGGAGGGCCTGCCTCAAGGTGACCTGGACTTACTGTGCTGCGGGGGCAACACGAGGATATGACACAGGAGGAGGGACAAGGTGACAAGAGGAACAGAGAGAAAGCCAGACACAGACCCACGCATGCCAGCACGTGCAGGAGGGGCGGGAGGAGGAAGAAGAAGCAGTAATTCCCTACATGGAAAACTGGATTCCAACTGTGCACATATTTAAAAAAACAACTCCCAATAGATGAAAATAACACAAGCCTTAAAACTCTTAGTAGAAAACATAGATGAGTACGTTTCATACCATAGGGGAAGCAAAGATTTATTAATTAAAACACACAAAAAGTATTGACCATAAAAGATTGCTAAATCTAATGAGCCCTCAGCTATATTGTCAGAGCTTTTTGAGGCAGGAACCAGCTGTTGCGCTGAACTCATGGGTCCTCCTCCAGCCTCAGCGTCCCAGCAGCCAGGATTATGGGCATGTGCCACTGCACCCACTTTGACTTCTTGTTCTCTTTAACATGTCTTTCACCTGGATGTGGTGGCACAGCCCCGCCACTCAGGAGGCTGAGAGAGCAGGACTGAAATCTCAAGGCTAGCCTGGGAAACAGCGACTTATTGAGACCTTGTCTCAAAATAAAATAAAAAGGCTAGAGAGCAACTCAGCACTAGAGCACTTTCCTAGCATGAGGCCCTGAGTTCAATTCCCAGTAGCACAAGAGAGAGAGAGGGAGGAAGGGAGGGAGAGAGAGAGACAGAGAAAGATAGAGAGGGGGAGAGACAGGGACAGAGAGGTATCAGGTATCGGGATGCACATCTACCCCCACCCCAGGCAGGACTCAGTACCAAGAACACAGAAGAAAGTGGGCAGGACCATTACAGACGCCAGCCAGAGAAGGACCAAGTCTGGGCCCAGTTCCCACCACCATGGGCAGCAGCCCTGGAACACCTGGACGCCTTCGGAAAGGTCTCTTATCGGGCTCTGCCCTGGCCATTAACCTCCCTCAAACTCTCCTCCACTCCATCCTCCAGTAAATTTAGGACACCTCAGAATTCTTTTTTCTTAGCATATTTTATACCTTTTCAACCAGCACATAAGTAAAAACACAGATTCACAACACCAAACATTGGGTCTAGAGGATCTTTTGTGCACTCTGCTGGGATCACAAACTGGGAGAACGGCTTTGGAGAGCTCAGTATTTTCTCCTAAAGCTGAGGGTCTGCTTTATAACCCAGCAATTCCTCTCCCAGGTCTATGTCCAAGAGAAACCTTTCTGGGGTGCCCCCCTCATCTGTGAGGCAGCACCCGGGGCGGTCACAGAGCAGGCAAAGCAGAGTTCGGCAGCCGGGATAACAGAGATGCATCTTAGCAATGTAAGGTTATGTAACATCTTAGCAATGTGGGGGAAACCTGAGATTACACAGGGGTTAAAACACCTAAAAATTGAAATCTTTACTTTGAAGAGTACGTGAAATGTTGCTTTTAATCGTGGTCACAGGATTCCCAGGGTCCCTTTGTCCTGGAACAGGCTGCAGGAGGACTGGGGGTGAGAGGCAGGGTATGCTGACAGAGCCAAGTGTTACTCGAGTGGTAGGGTCCTGGGTGCTGTCGGCACTATCTAAAATAACTGAGTGAAAGTGGGCCTTGAGTAGAGCAAGGAGCAGAGGGGGCATGACTACAATTAAGTGAATGGTGCATACTTAAGGGCCCAAACACAATACCAACAAAACATTTCTGCCCCTGGGTTGTGGTTTAAAAGTGTGGACAGTAAAGCAGGCAGTGCCCAGGGCCATGGGCCTAGGAAGGGGGCATCTTGGGGTTGCCTGGCCAAGCATAGCTCACACCTGTGTGGCCCCATCTACCCCAATCTGTGCAAGACAGGTATTCAGGAAAAAGAAAGAAGCAGATCCCAGCTCACCGGGACAGGTTTACTGCAGAACGAACCTGGCATTGAGACCGGAGCGGCACCGTGTAGGACACGGGGAGGGGGAGGTCAGAGGGAGGGGCTTGTGGCTCCCGCCAGGAGCAAGGCTGGAGAGAGCACAGCGATCACCGTACCAGGGCAGAGGCTTGGGGAAACACAGCAGCAGGAGCTCCTGTGCACAGCAGGGCTGATGGTGTCGGGAGACCTGGGGCAGCCGTACTGGGAGGGGTGGTGTAGAGGGGCCATCAGGATGGGGCACTGGCATCCTGCCACAGGGCCATTCCCAGTGTCACTGTACGTGCCTGCTTCCCCGTCACCCACCTGGGCCTCACTCAGCTTGGGGGGGTGTGGGTGCCCTGGGAGGGAGAGAGGCTTACACAAAGCCTGGCTGTTCTCAGGCTCTGCATGGGCCTGCCCTGCTCACCCCCAGGCTGGGGCCCGGCCTCCAGATGGCAAGGCAGGTGCTGCAGGTGGAGGTGGGAGGCCGCGGCCGCGCCCTTGTGGCCGTTTCTCCTGTGCTCTGGGTTGTCAGAGCAAACAGATCCCCTCTTACTATCCCCCCACGATTGCCCACCACAGGACTGCACGGCCTGTGTGAATCTCCAGCATGTCCCCGTGGTCTCTGCTGTCACCAGGTCCTCAAAGATTTGGGTTGAGGGTGGGATGAGTTTTCCATCAGAGACAGAAAAGAATCGGGGCAGCGCACAAAGTAATACGTACATGTCTTGGGCACCGTGGGTCATCATCTGCAAACATCTGTCATCTATGAGAGCGGATGAAAACAGCTAAATGGTTTAAATGACGGGGTTCCTGCCGGGATGCGAGGAGCCTGTGAGGAAGAGCGTGGGCCTGGGTGCCCCTTGCCTCCCTTCGCTGCGCTCCCCGCCTCCCTGCCAGAGTCCTGCCATCAGCTCCACTGCCCCCCCTTCCCTTCTCACCCCCAGCTTCTCCTGGCTCTGCGGACACGTGCACCGGAACATCCTCTGCAAGTTCACAGGCCCGGCAGTGGAGCTGTTTGACGAGGAGTTCCGCCACCTCTATGCCTCCTCCAAGCCCCTGATGGGCCTGAAGTCCCCCAGGCTGGCGGCCCCACTGCAGCCGAGAGCTGTCCCCAGCACCTCCAATGGCCACCTCAGTAGGGACAGCTGCTCTGCCAGTGACCACACCTCCTCCAACCCCTTCAGCACCCCATCAGTGGGCAGCAACCCCCCAAAGCAGAGACTGTCCGCCTCCTCAGGGCCCGGGAGTCCTCTGGCCCCCAGCCCAGCCCAAGCTCCCAAGTACCAGCCCTACCACAGCCCCTGGGGAGCCCCAGCTCTGCAGCCCCCCTTCCTCCCCAGGACCCCGAATGGCCCACCCACCCGCTACAGCAACCTCAATGCCTACCGGCCCACACGGCTGCAGCTCGAGCAGCTGGGCCTACTGCCCAGGGCGACACACATCTGGAGACCCTTTCCACAGGCTTCACCTCACTTCTGAAGGGTCCTGTGTCCCCATCACTCTCCCCAGGGTCAGGGCCTGGCACTCCTGGGTTCACTGCCTCAAAGACCCCACTTCATCTACAGCGCTGAACCTGCTTCCCCTTGAGCCCAAGGCACTGGGATCAAATCACTGCCTGTTGGACTCTCCCAGCCCCCTTCTCAGCCTCCACTAGTCCTTGGGTTCCCCTTTCTGGCTTGGCCTGTGCAGCTCATCCAGGCCTGAGGGAGTGGGGATGAGTTAGAGACAAAATCATGGTGTCAGAGTCCTTGTCTTCCAAAGATCTTCCAGAGCTTTAAAAAGTAATGGTCCCGAAGGCTCCATAAAGTAAGAAGGGGCAGGTGCAGCCCAAGCTTTACAAACAGGTAAACTGACGTCCTGGAGAGTAGGTGATAGATCGGTATTTCTGTTTCCCAGTTCCCAGAAACAGTCCATTGCCCAGGTACTCAAGAAGATTCAGGAGAGGCTTGGTGAACACTCTGGATGTTCCTGGGACAGCTGGGAAAAAGTCATCCCTGTAAAGGCTAACATGGGGGTACCCCTGTGAACTAGGGATATGTCCTCAGAATCTGCTTCTAAAGTTATATGGGGCCCCCTGAACCCGCAGCCAGCAGGAATGGAGCGAGCTGAGGAGTCGGGGAGTCAGCGGGACAGGCCAGGTTGGCAGACCCAGCTCTGCAGAGCCCTGCCCAGGCCTGAAGTTCCCGGGATCTGAGCTGGGCCGAGGACTGGGGTAGTCAGGGTCTGGAACGGCTCTGCAGTCATGCCCAAGGCATCACCGCATGACTCGGAAGAGTCCAGCTGCCCCTGGACAGCAGCCAGCCGCAGACCCCGGGGAACCCACACTGAACCCTCACAGGCCCCGGGGTGCATTCACTTGCAGGAAAGTGCCGGCTAACCTCACAGCCCGGAGGGGGAGCAGTGTGCGGTGTGAAGGAGGTGGGTGCCAGGCCCATGCCTGCCCTCCCGGCCACCCACAACTCCTCTCCGCAGATGTCTTCTCTGTTCGTTTTCACCCCAGCGGCCAGAGCGGGCAGGGCCGAGGCACAGGGAGCCCTTCCTCCTGGCCGCCTGATTCCTGGCAGGGCAGTGTGTGACTGCCCTTCTACTGTGCAAAGGAAGTCTCCCTCATGGGCTGGGGATTGAGCTCAGCGGCAAAGCGCCTGCCTGGCAAGCGCAAGGTCGTGAGTTCAGTTCCTGGTACCAGAGAAAAACCAAAAAAAAGAAAAAAAAAAGGAAGTCTCCCTCAGCCCACCCAGTCCTGTTCCCATGTGTCTAATGCTTCTGACAAAGGCAGTGGCGCCTGCCGTTTTCTTAGTTCCTTAATGTTTACAAAAGAACAAAAACTAAAAATCCACTACCCCTTTGGTTCCCGATGGTGTTCTCAGCCCCATCCTGAGTGTTTCCCCACTGACGCTGGTGGTTACCAGGCCAGGCTGAGCGTATGAATTGGATTTCACAGTCAGCTGAGACAGTGACAGCAGGACAGGAAAGCTTGCTGGAGTGGCCCAAACTCCCAGTGTCAAGTTCCAAGTCCCATCGGCCTGCCTGGCTTCTATGGGCCCAGGCCTGGCCCAAGGGCAGCCCAGCCACTCCGGACCACTCCCCCCCAGCAGAGTTCCTTCTGTGGTTTGGATATCATCACAGGGCTGTTGCCAGATTTGCTGTCTCACTCTTCTGGGCCTGCGGTGGGCAGCAGGTGCACTCTGCTTGGGCTGGTGATGCAAAAGTGCAAGGGTTGGGAACCTGCAGGGGAGAGGCTGGGGAGACTGGGCGCAGCTCACCGAGGGTGCCTCCAGCTGAACCCTCTTCCACCAGCCCACTGCCTGAGTGACCACAGTCAGCAGAACCGGCCCCCTATCAGTGCATAATGGATTCACAGTATGAGCAAGAAAAAAGCCTGTGTCACTGAAGCCACTGAGATGTGGGGTCTTTTCTCTCCATGACCCAGCTTCAGCCGACAAATGACTTCTGGGACCCAGCTTCTGGGACCCACTGCCACTATGTCATTTCCTCAAGGGCCAGGAGTGGTTTCCCACTCCGAGAAGTGGGTCAGAACAAGTTCTTAGCCAAATTCCAAATCCTGCCAAATCTGGTGGCATCCAGCTTTAATTCTATGGAGGATATAATCACCGCGGACCGCCTTGGCAGGGCCTGCTTGCTGGGAGATGCCCTTAAACAGTATCTGTTAGTGCAAAGCTCCCCAGCACCTGCACCTCCCATGGCCAGGCCCAGGGTCAACTCCAGCCACATGGAGAACCCAGAGTCAGCTGGGCGGGTCTTTCCTTGATCACTCCCAGAAGGAACAAGAGTGAAAAGGTACATGTTGTATCCAGTGGAAGGGACAGCCAAAGTAGCTCCCAAGCCGGTGTTCTGGGGGCCCAGGGCTGACCCCCAGGATTAGGGGCCAGCATTGACTAGAACCACAGTCTCGCTCCTGGACGCTGTCTCAGAACACTGACCTGCGTCTCTGCTTCTGCACTGGAGAAGCCCAAGCCAGCGTCTCTCTGGGGACCTCAGGAGGCCTGCAACAATGTCACAGCTGGTCCCAGGCATGGTCACAGCTCCCCACATACATGCGCACATCGTGAACGGTGTTGCTCCCTCAGGGGACCCGGACACACAGACCCCCGGGCTCCTTCACGGGTGGGAGGAGACCTGTCTTCTCCCAGCCTTCCTGCCTCCCCATGGCCTGACACCAAGAACGTGAGCGTGGCCCAGGAGCTGCTGGACAGAGAGGAGCTGCCTCTCACTTTCTTGGCCTCCTGCAGAGCAGCTGGGTGTGGAAAGCTATTAGAAATGTGAACATGGGTGAGCAGAGACGCAGCCCTTTGCGCAGCCATTGAGTGTATTCAGGGAACACGTTGCTTCTTGGGGCGGCCGGCTCATCCTGTCTTCCTCCGTGGGGGCGGTGAAGGAGGATGTGCAAACAAAGTGGGGTGCAGCCCGGGCACAGGCCCAGGGGTGGTGGCACAGGGGGGGCAGGGTGGCCGTGCCAGGGCCAAGCTACTCCTCCACAGGCTCCTCCCAAAGAGGCAAGGACATCTCTGCAGGTTTACACTGACCAGGGTGGGAGAGGATTCCTGGGGCTCCAACTGAAGCAGGCACTAGTAAAGCAGCCCCAGCTCGGAGCCCGTCTTCCCTGTCTCACCTGTACAGCCCAAACCAGGCCTCTCCCTGCCTTTTCAGCAATGAGAAGGAATGAGCAGAGCAAACCTGGAGGCCTGGCAGTGCTGTGGCCCAGTAAAGACGGGCAGCTGAGGAAAAGGAAGGGGTGGGTGAGACTGCTCAGGGAGATGTCCTCCATTCCGAAGGGCAGTGCGCTTCTGGAGCTGCCACCTCCTCAGTTCTGGGGCTGAGGTTACACGGGGTCCGCAGAGCCCTCTGCTGGCCTTGCAGATGACCACCCTCTTGCTGGGGGGTCCCTCTGCGTCCTTCACCTCTGTTGTTCCCGAGTTCCAATCTCTTTGAATAAGGACACTCATCAGCCTGGATGAGGAGCTTGAGGAGCTGTGTACGGGTGCCCAGTGGACGAGGGCTGGACTTACGATGGTCAACTGTGTCAACGACTGGGCCATGAGGCCCTGTACTTGGTCAGACGTTACTCCAGGTGTCTCTCGATGAGATTAACATTTGACCCCTCGACAGCAGCTTGCCCTCCCCAACATGGGCTTCAGTCAGTCAGCTGATGGCCGAGCGGAATAAGAAATCAGCCTTCCTGTGGGGGAGAGAGAAGTCCTCCCGCCTGATGACCTTCAGCTCAGACCCATTCCTTTCCTGCCTCAGACACGACCTGAGATACCAGCCCCTCTGCTCTTGAGCCTTCAGCCTTCAGGCAGAAAGCACACCATGGGCTCTCAGGAGACCTCCAGTTCGCTGGCTCACCCTGCACACATGAGCCTGGCAACCTCCACAGTCACACGAGCCAGTTCCTTCCTATCTGCCCTCTACCCACCTGTCTCATTGGTGGCTGTTTCTAGGGAGAGCCTAATACAAACTTTGGTCCTGGGAATTAAAGGCACCACGTCCAAATACGAGGAGCTGGGGCTTCACCCAAGGAATCTGTGGGGCTCACTTGCCTGACAGGCAAGCCTCCCACAGAGGCTAAGACGCCAGAGGGGCCCCAGCTGCTCCTCCCGGCCCCGGTGGCTGCCCTTCTCCAAGCACTGGATCAGGTGTCGACCCCTCCCTCTCCAGCCCTGCAAGGAGACAGCTGACAGCTGAGCGCAATCAGCCAGGCTCCAGCTGCAGCAGCCACATTCCATGTGCGGGTTCTCTGCCCGCAGGCAGGGCTTACTTCCAGCGGCTGCTCTTCCAGAACACAGTAGCCCTGGGCCGGACAATGGGCCCAGGTTGGTGGCCTTGGCTCCCAAATGCCTACAGGTGTCAAGTCTCCTTGCCTCTTCTAGTTTCTACAGACCTGGCTCGTGGTCACATTCCGATCTTTGAAACTAAGAACACAACCTCTTCCTCATCCATCTGCCACCACTGTGCATTTTTAAAGACCCTAATGATTGCCTCAGGTCCACCTGGCCCACAGGAAATTTCCCCAAGTCAGCTGATTAACAACCACAACTCCTTTGCCAGGGATCCTAGTTTACTTGTGGCTCTGGGGATTAGGAGGTGAACCAGACATAATTCTGCCTGACATACTTAAGGGTTTCTTGTGGAATTCTCAGAAACACCCCCTCCCGCCAGCTGAGCAAGCCTGAGAACAGGAAGTAGCAAAGCAGACAGCTGCCCTCTGCCCCTCTGGGGATCTCTCATTTTGTCTCTCCTGCAGACCTGCTCTTCTGTCTACTTGGCAAATCACAGCCCCTGAGTCTGCTAGGTTCACATACTCAAGAATTGTATTTCTGTGAGTTCAAGTCCCAGTACCAAAAAAAAAAAAAGAACTGCATTTCTGAACCCCCAAGAGAAACTGATTGGCCAGCTTGGGTCAGGTCACTGTCCTCGACTCCCCAAGGGTTAGGGCTCTTGAGTCCAAAATGGCTGCCAGGACCCCAGGGTTAATGAGGGCCATTCCTGCGAAGGGAGGGCACAGCAGTGACTAGCAGCCCAAAGTAGGGCTCACAACACCAAAGCTTCAGGCGGCAAAAGCACGCTGTGCCTGTGCAGAGGAGGAAGATGAGGAGGAGAAAAAGAAAGAAAAAGAGAAATGGATACGAAAAATATCTCTCCCACTCTGCTGGCAACTTAGTGATTTAACCCATCTCAAAATAAAAAGTAAAAGGGGGAAATGTAGCTCAGTGTGGAGGCCTTGGGTTCAATCCCTACTACTGAAAGAAAAAAGAAAGAAAGACAAGTCTCCCAGTTGCTGTACCTTGGGAACACAGTACTAGAGCTGACATTCTTGGCCTGTCGCTCTCCTGGCCCCGGCGTTTCATGTCTGTGTCCCAGGTCGACACCACCCAAGCGAGGCCTGAGCGTGCACCACGGCGCCTGACCTAGCCGCACACACGGCCGTGTCCGAGTTCCAGCTTCTTCAGTTCACCCCTTTTGTTTGCTGTCCAGCTTGGTTTTGGCTTTTGTTATTTTTTATTAGAGCCTTGAACAACAGAATATCCACTGCTTTCATACATTAAACATCAAAGGCAGCGAAAACAATTGTTTTTAGGCCGGGCGTGGTGGCACATGCCTGTAATGCCAGAACTCTGTAATCCCAGCACTTGGGAGGCTGAGGCAGGAGTATCGTTCTGAGTTGGAGACCAGCCTGGGCTACAAAGTGAGCTCAAGGCCAGCGTGGACTGCATAGTGAGACCTTGTCTCAAAAAGACAAAAAAAAAAAAAAAAAAACAATTGTTTTTAAACAGTGGTTTTGGATTCATTTTGTAACGCTTTTGACCTAGGCTTTCCTAACGTGAAGGCTACCTGTGGGAAACGCTGCCCTGTCCAGGCAGTGGCAGACATCTGTGGTGTTGGCGGTGGACTTTACAGAGCCAGGCCCTCGCCTGCCTGTTCAGGCTGACCCCCAGGGCCCGAGGCTGCAGTGGGGAGCAGGTGCTGGGCATGGCATGTTCCTGAGCGGCACCAATGAAGGCAGACCAGAGAGACAGCACAGGGTCACACACCTATGTCATTACAGTTCCCAGCAGCACTTTAAACAGCACGAGAACCTGCACCCCAGGCAGAGACCTAACAGGTCCAGGGGTCAGGAACACCCTACCTGACAGAGGCCGGCTGAGAACTTGGGCAGCTGGGTGGGGGGTCACAGGGGCGAGGGAAAGGACGGCCAAAGGGCTCGGCTGAAGCGAACCTGAGGAGCCCAAGAAGTGACAGGGCCAGAGCCAGTGACTCACTCCCTGCCGAGTGCAGCGGCATCTGAGCAGTCAGGCCTGAGAAGCAGCTTCACACCATCGCCCAACTACCTCGGGCAGCCTCCATGCCGGAAATGATAGTGATGACACGAGTGTGACAAAACGCAGAGGTGCTGCCCCCTGGGCACCTCCCTCCTGCACGACATCAGGCAGCGGGGGCCTGCAGGAGCGGAGGTGGACAGGCCTGTGAAGACCACAAAGGCCCTGGGAGAAAAGCCGGGGAGCTAAGAGCACAAGCATGGGCGCGGCCGGCACGGAACCAGGATGTGACAGGAGCAGAGGGGACATTTCTAGGAAGCCTAGATGCATGGGTGAGGGATAGGGGGTGCTGCCTGGGACTGCCTGGGAGCCACATCGGACCCTCGAGCAGACACTGGGCAGTTAGTTCAGCAATGCCTTTCAACAAGTAGTGTCTGCTCTGGGGATACAAATGCAAACAACAGTCATAGCTCCTGACTACAAAACAGTCTCCCACGGAAAACAAACAGGCAACTGAAAACTACAGGGTGAAAAGGGCGGTGTGGGAAGAGAGCGGTGGGAGGCAGCCCAAAGCGGGGAACTGAGTGTCCCTGGGGCACAGCACACTGCACCTACCGAGCCCCGAAGGACAGAGGTGGCTCAGGCGTCTGACGGGCGCGGGGTCCCAGGTGAAGGCCCCGGGACACTTCCAGCTGAGGCCCACCAAACCACACCACAGAGAGGTGGGCAAGCCCCTCTCTGGAGGGTGACACAATGGACTGCAAACCTGACAGCCATGTCGCCACAGCTGCTGCACAGGGCCTGACACAGAGCAGGAGCTCTGTCAGTGAGGGCAGTGGTGGAAGGATGGGAGGTACCGGGAGCTGCTGAGGGACTGTCAGAGTTGCTCACATCTCCTAAAATCAAAATGCCTATTAACTGTACAGTCTTTTGTTTTCTATTAAAGATGAAAGAGTAAACTGCAGTTGCTAGTTATGCTAACAAACTTGCTAACAGAGTGGTCAAACTATAAACCGTCAGCCTATGTGGGGACGGCTAATGGGGAAGGTGAAGCACACAGCAAGCATGTGGAACGGAAATCCTCAGATCTCTCTGCCCTGCACTGCAACCTGTCCTCTGCTGAGCAAGATGGCATAAAAGCTGCGCAGGACACACAGTGAGTTTGGGTTTGTCGTTAATTCCACCTACAGGGGGCTCCTCCAGCCCTCCTCTTCCGTCCCAAATCATTTGCTGAGGAAGGTGAGGCCTCTGCATCTGAAGATGAGGTGACAGACTGTGACGTGTGACAGCACTCCTCAAGTCTCTCCTGGGTCTACGTATCCTCACACTCAGGACGGTGCTCAGGCCCTCCTCAGGGACATGTGTGTAGCAAACAGCCCCCAAGACAAATCAGAGGCGAGGATGCTTACTGCCCACCGGACTCCCAACCCAGAGCTGCCTTCCTAACACACAGCAAGCCACTCATGTACCTCACAGGACGTAGTGACACTCACTCATGGTGTGTGTCCACGGGCACCACCGCCCAGGGACACAGAGGCAAGAAGAGCTGGTGCAGACACTGAAGCCTGTAATGCCTGAGTCACAAGTTCCTTTGTTTCTGACCCAGGAGTCTCCTGTCTGTGCCAGCTCACAGGAAATGGTGACAGCCAACCTGTTAGTGCACAAGTAAGGCAAATTCTCAGGCCCACTGTGTTCCAGCCACACCCTTCTGAGACATGGTGAATTCTCACAATTCAACATTCGTGGTCATTCCTGATGAATTTACTTGAAAAATGTGGTTTACTACAATGCTGGCTGTAACATGGTAACTGTTTTTAGATGATAATCTTAAAGCCTCCTTTACACAGGTTCCCAACAGGGATTTTCTAAATGCATAGTAAACCTAAGTAACATATAATACTGACAAGGACTACAAAAATCTCAAAAGAAAATAACCTGGGAGAGAAGCCATTTTTACAAAACATAAAGAATCCTTTTTTAATTCACAATTTGCCATGATCAGCAGAAGATGCCACCTGAAGTAAATGAGAACAGTTAATACAGAGTAAGACATTTGTAGTTAAATAGCCTCTAGGCCAAAATCTGTATCTCACTTTGCAAGTGACCTTCCAAGGAGCAGAAGTGGTCTCTGATCTTCCCAAACCACTTGTCTTCAAATCCTTCCAAGGAGGCAGTGACCAAGCCAGTCAGGGCCACAGGGCCACTGCTCTTCACTTCTGCATAAACTTCGTCTTTCATTTTTTCTGGGCCTATATCTTCTCCCATAACCTGCAGCAAGAGAAAAAAAAGTGCCAATAAAAGAGGCAGCACAGCCAAGCATGATGGTGCACAGCTGTAATCCCAAAACTATGGAAGCTGAGACAGGAGCGCTGCAAGTTCGAGGTCCCATCTGGGCAACTTAGTAAGACCCTCTTCAAAAGTAAAAATTTTTAAAAGGTTAGAGATATAGCTCAGGGGTAGAGCGCTTGTTTAGCACAGAGGAGCCCTGAGTTCAATTCCCAATACCAATCCCAAAAATAAATAAACAAACAAACAGTTGTTACCCAAGGGTCACATATATAAACTGCCCTGTGTTTTCCCTCTCCTGTTTCCGAGTGAAAGAAAGCAGGCAAATGAAATGAACAGACACTTCTCAGAAGTGGTACAGATGGCCAACAGACAGGTGAAAAAATGCTCAACATCACTGGCCATTAGAAAGTTGAAAATTAAAATAACACTGCACTGAGAGTCTATCTCACCCCTAAAAGAATGGCTATCACCAAAAAATCAAATAATAAGTGCTAAAAAAATAATAATAATAATAAATGCTGCCAAGGTTGCAGGGGAAAAGGAACATTGTTGGTGGTAATGTAAACTGGTATAGTCACTATGGAAATCAGTATGGCGACTCCTCTAAAAACTGAAACTTGAAATTCCATTTAACCCAGATATTTCTTTTCTAGTTATCTTCCCAAAAGAGTTAAAGACATCACATTACAGTGATCCATGCATTTTCATGGGTATAGCAACATAATTCATAATAGCTAAATCCTTGAAGCAGCCTATATGTCCATCGACAGATGGCTGGATTTAAAAAATGTGGCACTTACACAATGGAGTACTACTCTGCCATAGAGAAAGACAAACTTGACTCATGTGGAGGAAAATGGGTGCACCTTGAGAGCACGATGTTACACGAAATACATCAGACACCCAAGCTTAAATATTACATGGTTTCTCTAATATAAGAAATCCAAAATATAAATAAAGAGTAAAATAAAGGATAGATAGTAGGGAGTAAGGAGATAGATCTTTCTTAAATGGGAAGGGGATGAAGAGATGCAGAGGGGAAAGGAGGGGTTGGGAAGGGGATGAAAAAAGAATTAAGATGTGTTATGTACACACACCAGGAACATAAGCAGTACGTACTATAAACATGTACTAAAAAATAGCCAAGAAACACACAAACCACACTGCAGATGGTGATAAAAATGGTGCAGCCACTTTGGAAAAGCGTGGGCCGTTCCTCAAGACGTTAACCACCTCAACACCACAGGACCCAGCCACCCAATGCTAAGAACCCACCCAAGAGGGATGAACCTACATGAACACATGAACACTTTTCTCCAATGTCCACGGCAGCAGCACTCCCCTACTGGTGGACGCAAAAGCATGGACACATACAGCGTGGTCTACCCAGAAACGGCGTGTCAGGCAGCACCAAAAAGGAATGAAGGGCCAGTACACATCACAACACAGACAGCTCACAAACTTGATGGTAGTGGGCTCCAAAGGTGGCCAGTCACACCAGGCCACCTCTTGTCTGGCCCCAGTTACATGAAATGTCCAGGCGAGGCAGACCCACATGGAAGGAGGCGGTGGTCATAGGGCTAAGAAGCGGGAGGCAAGGTAACTGGGCAGGGCTTCACTTGGGAGTCAGGGAGGGGATGGAAACGTTCAAAAACTAGATTCAAGAATTAGTCATATCTACACAACTATACATAGGTTAAAAATACTGATTTGCACACTTTAAAAAAAAATGAATATTTAAAAAACAAAAAGAATCCCTGAAGTCCTCATGTGGTGACAGCACCATCCGGTCTCCAGGAGCACTTAGTTGGACTTTGGTACCCAAGTCTGTGACTGCAGCATGTCGGGGGGCATAGATCCTCTTTCCTACGAGTTCCCCAAAGAAGTCAACAGCAGCAAACAATCAAACAGCAAGGACCGTAGCTGGACACACCCTTTCCTGACCCAGAACAAGCTCCAAAACCAAAGCAATCTTGGGGACCTAACTGGCACGTTTACCCAAGGAAGGTCAATACTTCTCCCTGCTGGGCAGAACCTGGCCCACAGGACCACAGTCAGTCCCTCAAGTTGGCAGGGCAGGTCCCACAAAGCCTATACCCGAACCCACAAAGCCCACCTTTGGTAATGACAGTGAACTAAGTGCTCACTTCCGTTTCCAACATTTCATAACATTCAGTACAAGTGGTTATGTAGCTGTCTTGCAGAGATGCCACAGAGGGGATCTGCTAGTCACACCCCCTGGACGGATGTCTAAGGTGCCTGCAAACCTGCACAGCCAGTGTGTTCACAGAAATGCTAATTAGAAGCACACGCAAAACAGCATTCCTACTGAGTCTGAATCTTCACAGATCACGTTTTTTTTTTAAAGGAAATTGCCAATGAGATGTAGAGAATTTACTAAATAATGGTATTTCATCGGTTCAAAGACACTTGCCTTTGTATTTCAACATCTCTAAAATCAAGATGTACAGTACAACCAGTAGCATGTCATGGTGTGAAAGCATCTCACCTTTTACTGCCACATCAAACGATGTGTCTTACAATTGAGGACTTCTTGCAGTCAATGAAATGCAGTATTTTTAAGTGCTGGGTAAAACACCAAAAAAGTCTTTCTTTAAAAACAGAGAATTGCTATGATGAATGCGAGCATCATGTATATCTAAAATGTACGAATAAAATCTAATGTATTTTTGTTGTTTTTTTCTTCCGGTACCAGGCATCGAACTCACGACCTTGCACTTGTCAGGGAGGTGCTGTGCGGCTGAGCTAAATCCCCAGCTAAAATCTAATGTTAAAATAAAATAAAAATAGAGAATTGAATAATAGTAATAGCCAAACAAAGCAATTCCAAAAAGAGGAATAAACAAATACAATATTCATAGGTGTCAAAAAATCCTGCCAAAACGTTTGGTAATATAAAAATTTAAAACTTCCATAGTGTCAAAAAGTAAAACTCGGGGCTGGGGATTTAGCTCAGCAGCAAAGGGCCTGCCTGGCAAGAGCAAGGTCGTGAGTTCGGTTCCTGGTACCAGAGAAAAACCAAAAAAAATAAAAAAATAAAAAATAAAAAAAAAAGTAAAACTCAGAAAAATACTACAATACTAAAAGGAAAGTAAGTCTCATATTGAAAAGGCTCCTAAAAATTACTAAGAAAAACAGAAATAAAGAAAAACATAATTAGCCATCTCACAAAATACAAATGGCCAAAAACATATGAAAAAATTATTCAGCTTAACAGTTACCCAAGCAAACATTAATACTAAAAATACAATCTGTTTATCTACCAAATTGCAAATTTAAAGAAGAAATAAGTTGTGTTATACAAAACTGCTGCTTTTGTAGGTTAAAATAACTGAATACAGGCAATTTCAAATGGTTCAACCTACTATGTAAGACTCGGCTAGGGAAACCAGTGCTCTCTCTCACACAGAGCCCAAGGATATGCAAACTGAACCAACCTTCTGAATGACAATTTGGAAATGTGCCTCAAGTCTTTAAAATGTTCATATTTTAGGGCCAGGGATTTAGCTCAGGAGCGCAGCACCTGCCTGGCAAGCGCAAGGCCCTGAGTTTGATTCCAGGTACCAAAAAAGAAAAAAGTAAAAAAAGAAAAAGAAAATGTTCATATTTTTAAATATTTTAATTCAGTAATTCTACTTCCAGTCATCTAAAAGGTATGAACATATACACTGATAATTTTGCAAGGACTTATTAAAATAGGTACTAAATATTTATTAAGTGTTCAACATGGGGAATAAACTAGTAAGCTATAGTTAATCTAAAAAAGCTGGACTACCATCCAACCAATAAAAATTATGTACTCAAATAATGTTTAAGGGTACAGGGTCATGCCCATGTCATACATTAGGTAACTATTCTAATGTATGGTTCAGCACTTCCAGAAAAGCAATTTCACTCCTAGATAGATACAAAAAAAGTAAAATAAAAACAGAGATTCAAACATACATGAATGCTATTCTTCAAAGTAGCATTTTTACAACATCCAAACAGTAGAAACAATCTGGGTCATCAGCAAATGAATAAATAAATATGGCTATATATATGCAGCATATGAATACTACTCTGCTATGAAAAGGAATGAAGTTTTGAGACAGGCTACCACATGGATGAATCTTGAAAACAATGTACTAAATAAAATAAAATAAAACAAAATAAGCCAGGCACAAAAGGTTCAATTCTGGATACTTCCAATTTTTTCTAAAGACAGCGTCGTTTTTCTTTTCTTTTTTTTTTTTTTTGGTGTTTTTTCTGGTACCGATAATCGAATTCACGACCTCGCATTTGCCAGGCAGATGCTGTGCCACTGAGCTAAATCCCCAGCCCCCTAAAGACAGGATCTTGAGTAGTAGCTCAGGCTGGCCTTGAACTCACTGTGTAGCCCAGGCTGGCCTTGAAATTGTAGTGACCCTCCTGCCTCAGCCTCCTGAGTGCTTGAACTACAAGGCATGCTCCACCACTCCCGGCCACTTATTTTAAACATCAAAAAATAGGCAAATTTGTAGAGACAGAGCAATGGGTCCCTAGGGAGGTGGGAGGGGGACAGGAAGGTACTGCATGATGGGGACAGCAATGTTGGGGGGAGGGCGAGTGGAGATGCCACGACGATGGCAGGACAACACTGCGAGTGGGATGGCCCCCTCACTGTCCGTTAGAACGAGCACAGAAAGGCAAATACACTATCTACACGTACAATCTATAAGGTATGTATACTCAGAGTAAAAACAGAGTTAAAAGGAAAACTTATAAAAGTGACATAAACAACAAAAGGACAGCATTAAAGCACATGGAAGAGATACAGGAGGGAAACAGCAGCAAAGCCTCCAAGGAGGGGAGAGGGGGTCACACGTGAAAGGCCAACATGTGAAGTGCCAGGAAGAGACAGGAAAACAGGCCAGAAGAAGCCCAGCAAGCTTCTGCGACAGGGAAAGAGCAGCAAGTTACAAAGGCCCAGGAGTGGCCAGGAAAACAAGGGCCTGAGGCAGGGAAAGGGGCCCAGGCAGTGCAGCCCGGGAGAGGGAGGAGCCTGCGCAGGTGGACTCCCGTGCTGCTGGGAAGAGTGCCATCAGGATGGATACAGGCAACAGTCGCTCCCAGGGGAAAGCCCTACTGCCAGATCTCAACGGTGAAGGGGAGTGGCATAAACAGCCTAAAAGTCTACCATGACTTTCTAATACGTGGGAAGTAAATCTTAATTTAGGAAAGATATACATATCCAAAAGACATCTTAAGAAACTTCAACAGTATACTTCATAAAAAGCCAGACTAAAAAAAGCTACTAAAGGTCTTGAAATGGCATTTTCATTTCTCCATAGCCCTTGAACCCATGCGCAGGAGAGCCAAGGAAGCTGGACTCAGCTGGCCCGCCTGGCTACGGCCAGCTCTGCCCTAAGATCTGACCTCAGCCGGCACAGCCTCGGTCCCAGCACCACCTATCTGCACGAGCGAGCGAGTGGCTGTGCCGTCCCGAGGGCAACTAGAGGGAAGGTACAGGAAACGGCGGGCACATCTGAGCACTTCGCAGAGACTCTCTCACCAAAAGGCAGCTCTGAGCAAGCGCAGCGCTGCCCCGAGCACGCTGCAGGCACTGCCCATGAAGAAGCCGCTTTGGCATGTGCTGAGCATCAGGACACCAGACAGAATCAGGCAGAAGTCCTGCAGATGAGGTTTGGCTTGGTTTCTTAAAAAACTGTTACTGGAGCCAGAAGAAATATTGTCAGGCCTGTTTCACAGGAACCCAAGGGGTCTCACTCACCTCAGCGATCCACAGCAGAGTGTCCTCTTGGAAGTGGAACTCTCTCATTTTGTCTTCAATTTCCTGCTGAGTCCGTAAGTTCTTCTCCAAAGCAAACGACGTCTGCTGAGACTGGGTAAGCTGAAGCAAAAGCCTGCAAAGCCCAAAAGGCCCATGTGCAGCTCTGAGGCAGAAGGGCAGCAAGGGCTTGGCCACACTGGGCTGGGAGCGGGGCTGAGGCCATCAGGTGACAGAGGCACCGCACCCCAACCCCCAGCCCCCTCTTGATCCTGGAGACTCTGCTCCCAAGAAACCCCCACCTATACACACACATCTGGCAGAACCAAATTCTCAAAAGATCGCAGGGAGTGGCCTTGCAAACATGTTTCTGGTAGAAGGTAAGAGCCTGAAATCATAGAAGTCAGAGTGAAAAGCTTTCACTCAGTCCCCTATACAAGCATCCGGATTTGCTCCTTCCAAGCCTAGGCTCTACGACCCTTGCATTCCCTGAACTCAATGCAACTGGAGCTCAAGGACTGGCCAGCTTCGCCAGCACACCCTGTCACCCAAAGTAGTGCCAAACCTCTGAGGACCCTCTGTCCTCGTCAGGGTCCTCAACCTCATCCGCCTCTCCTGCCTCTTCCCTCCTGCCCTCCTTGCCTCCTTCCCGCTGCTGTGAGGGTACAGAGTTTTCCAATTGCACTCAGGCCTAACTGGCCCCAGCTGCCACTTCCAGAGGCGCTCAGCTGTCTGGTTCCCTCACTTCCGCAGAGGAATGCTCAGCTCCAGGAGCCAAGAGAGACTGCCGAGCAAGAGCAAGAACGAGAGCAAGAGCAAGCTCCCTGCCTCACAGGATGGAAGGAGAGAGATCAGAGAGAAAGAATTTCAGGCAGTGGCTGGGCAAAGTGCCACACACCTGGGATCCCAGCACCCTGGGAGGCTGAGTTAGGAGGATTCCAGGTTTGCGCCCAGCCTGCACAACTTCGTAAGACCGGTCCCAAAATAGAAAATAAAAAAGGCTGGAGATGTAGCTCAGTGTGGGTCAATCCTCAGTATAAGAAAGAAGAAAACAGATGGGGAGGAAGGGGAAAGGAAAGGAGGTGGTGGGGAGGAAAGGAGGGAGGAAGAAAAAGAGATTAATTTTAGGCAGTGAGTGACAAGTGCTATGAAAAAATAATTCAAGGGCGAGGGATGCAGTGTCTCTTCGGGAAGGTTTCCTGAACTACTGCCCAACCCAGACCTTACTGACAAGGGACAGGAGGGAGACTCTGAGAGAAAAGGCCTGGCCATGGAAGGAGATCCTGACACAAGAACTAGCTCGACTGGCTCCCTGTGGCCCCCCAGCACCTCCAGGGAGGGCAGCTCACACCTCCCTGCTTGCGAAGAAGTGCTGCTAGCATCCGTATGTCCTCTCCAAACTCAGGTTGGAACTTCACTGCTGTTATGATGGTACAGAGAGCTGTAACTTTTTTTTGTTTTTGTTTTTTTTCCGGTACTGGGAACTGAACTCATGACCTTGCACTTGCCAGGCAGGCGCTGTGCCATTGAGCTAAATCCCCAGCCCTGAGCTGCGACTTTTAAGGGTGATGCACAGGACAGGTTAATGCCAGTTCAGGAGTAAGTTCCGGATGAAAGGGTGTGCTCCCTCAGTTCTTCAGGGCACACATGCTCCCTCCCCGTGCGAAGCCCTCTCCATGCCAGGTGTGGTAGGAAAGCCCTCAGCAGCACCTGGCAGCTTGATCTTAGACATCCCACCTCCCAAACTGGGTGAGATAAATTTCTTTTCTGGGTAAATGTCCCGGTCTGTGGTGTTGTGTTACAGCAACAGCAAACAGACTGACACGCGGAACTCCTGGTGTCACAGTTTTCTGAAGGAGCAGGTCCTAGTGAGCAAAGCAGTTACACATGTGACCTCCCCACTGGCTTTCCTCCTCTGCTCTGCAAGTTACTGAGAAGCATGGCTTATCCTTTCTCCTTCTGTCGTATGTTCGTCATTCCTCAACTCTCACCTCTTCGCAAGTGGCCTGGTCATTCCACGTGCGGAGTGGAACTGCTTCCTCAACAGTCACAAAAGACCTCCTCCCTCTCAAAGCCTTCCTGACTGCTGCTCTCCCTCCCAACACTGCCTCAGCTCCCACTTCCTTCTTCTCAACGTAACTCCTATTTCCTGATGGAGAGCTCTGGCTGGCTGTCACAAAGGCACCCAGAGCCCCTTGGCACACCAGGTAAACTGCTCCTCTGCCCCAGATCCGCCCTGCTCAGCAGCCTGAGCGCTCCACCTCACCCTCGCCCTGGAGTCTTCAGTCTCTGCCCCCTCCCGGCCACCATCCTTCACACACCATCACCAGTCACAGGTCCCGTCTACTCCACACTACATAGATACCCCTCTTGCTGCTGACTTTGCTGGGTCAGAACCCATCACCACACCACGGCTCTTTACTGCTGTTCCTCCTTCCACACAGCATCCCAGCTACTGGGTCTCCCTCTGCATGGCAGCCTTGGTCATATCACTCCAGCAAGCGAAGCCTGCACTGACTTTTCAGGCCTTCAGCACAAGGGCCAAACCCTTGACAATGGTACCTCATGTGCTATGCTAGTAATAAAACAAAATAATGAAAGGACTACCAGCTAACATTATTTTTTTTGTCTTTTTGAGACAGAGTCTCCCTGTGCAGTTCAGGCTGCCTTTGAGCTCACTTTGTAGCCCAGGCTGGCCTCTAATTCACAATGATCCTGCTGCCTCTGCCTCCCTAGTTTTGGGATTACAGTTGTGTGCCACCACACCTGGTTAACAGCTAATATTTTCCAAGTGCCTACCATACATGATGCCACAGAGTGAGAACTTTAGATGCTCCAATTCCACAGCCCCTCAAAGCAGGAGTTGCCATTCTGCCACCTGTCAGGATGAGGCATGTGGAGACCAAGAGCTCGGGTAATTCGTACTTGATCGGGCGGCTGTCAAGCAGAACAATCCAGGCTTGTTTGCTGATCATCCACGTGCACAAAGTTCTCCCAAATCAGATCTGATCCAAAGTCCCGCCTCCTGCTTCCTCTGCCTCCTGGAGTCCTGGTGCTCTTGCCACCAGACAGTGCGACTGCTCTGTACCTGCTTCTCCAGCCGTACAGGCCGCACCTGGCTTCCACTTTGCCTGCTTTCCTCATTGTGGGAATTTCCTTTTCAAGGGAGCAAGACAGCACTGGCCTCGGTCTTCATAGCCGTGCCACTGTGGGAGTGATTTTAACAGCTCCCTAGCCTATAAAGTGGGGTCCCAATATGTGCCCCAGAGAGTTGTGAAGATTAGGATGAAATAATGTATACAGAGCACCTAGTACTCAGCGTCAGTAGTGTTTCTCCCTGGCACCACACTTGTCTCCTGTAAAGGCACCCGCCTGCCTGCCCCACAGCTCCTTGCATTGGTCCAAACAAACCCCACTCAACAGTGACAGGCTGTTTAGTGCCCATATGCCAGTCACCACTGGACATCTAGTTTCCCTATGCAGTGAACAGTGAAAGGAGAGAACTGCTTTTTTTTTTTAAATGATCTTTATGATTCTAGCACCAACCAAGGGCCTGGTACATGTGTTTTTAAATAAAAGTGACAGAATGAATGCCAAATAATCACCTGACAAATTTTAATATCTGCCATTTCTTAGTTAAGCCTTACTATCACTATTTCTGGAATTCTCCAGAGTTAAAAATAATCTCTATGTTTTCATGAAAGTGTCTGTTTTTCTCTTTTAAGTTATAGAACTGGTCAAGTGTATTTTTCCAGCCTTTCCTCAAATTCATACCCTGTAAGGACCCAAAGTTCTTGGAGCACATGGGCAATGGTGGTGAACCTATGGCACTCGTGCTCGGGTGAGCACGCATAGCCCTCTCTGTTGCACATGGGCAAAGTCGCCTAGCAGTTGAGCATCAGGTAACGTTGCTTTTTCTAAACTAAAACTTCAGTATTCAGGTTTAATTGCAGTGTTGGCACTTTGAGAAAAATAAGTGGGTTTGGGGTTACAGTTTGGGCACTTGGTCTCTAAAAGTTTCACCATCACTGGCCTAAGGGCAAAGCACGGGAGTCTTCTGTGGAATGAATTAAGTACCGCTTATTCACAATATCAGCAAGTCAAACAAGAGCAGACTTCTTCAGATTCTACAGGATATACGAGCAAAAAATGCCTTCTCTAAAGCAGCTTCTGTTCCCTTTTTAATGCTTTATACATTTTCTTTTCCTAATTTCTCAGTGTACTCCAGTTCTAACATTCTACCCTCAGCACTGACATGGTTGTATTCCTCAGCAAATACAGTGTTTCTAAATCCTACACATTGAGTGACACAAGTTCAAAGGGTTCTGTCTAGGTCCTGAGAAAAATTCAAAACCAAGTACCAAGTGCCCAGCCTAGAAACTCTCAAAGCTTAATCTGAGAAAAAGTAACCCTTTTCCCTGCTCAACTCCCACGCAGTGCCATGCCCACGTTGTTTACCTGGCTCGAATCAAAGAGGCGCACGCTTTCATCTGGGTCTCCGGCAACATGGTCCCTCTCTTTCCTGCCATACAGCTTGGAATACTTTTCAGAGTGTTCTCGTGTTTCTGGCTTTTACTGCTTCTTGCTTCCATGGAAAGTACACAGCTCTCAGGCAAGGTTTCAGGAAAACACAAAAGACAGTCTCTTCCTGAAGGTGGAAAGGTGGATTTGATAGTTTTGTCACTAGAGGCGAAACCGTTCTGTCTCTGAGGTGATGCAAATGAAGCCGAAAGAGCTGGCCCCAGACTCAGGTAAGCCTCTGCCAACTTGCCCCAGGTCCAAGGATTAAATGGATGCAACGCAATCAGCTTCTGCAGGCAGGAGATAGTTTTCTCCAAGTTTGGCCAACTTGAACAGATGCCAAGCTGGAGGTAGAGCACGGTGGTCAAGTGGTCTATATTGGTTGCTTTATTTTCCTGAGAAGGAAACAAACAAATGAACAGACAAAAGGTAAATAACCATAAGCTGCAAAATGTTTTCGATATAGAAATGAAGATGTCTAAAAGCCCAAGTAGGACATAAGTTAGACATGTCTTTCAACAGCTATACAAGGCAAGTGAACTAAACATACTGCAACAGATCTCACCTGAAACCACACCTAAAGAAAAACATACTCTCTAGCAAAACAGCTACTGGTCATGTCCAACCTCCTGTGTTATAAAACGTGACAAGTCATGTTTTGGCTGACGAAAGTCCAGCACCAAAAACATAAACGAGTTTCTTTCCAATTTGTATTATAATCTTGTCTTTGTCCAGCCAATTTTCTTAGGCCCTGGGCTAACGGTTCCATTTTAATATTCCAGGCTTTCTAAAAACCCAAAAGGTAATTTCCTTGCAGATTTGAACATACTCCATCTGCACATTTGTTTGGCTTTAGCATCTTACAAAGGACAGCCCAGAGCTCGCCACGCTTTGCGTGGTGTCGTAACTGAAACCAAATGCCTCCCCTACTAACCAGTACGAGGGCCAGAAGAGGCTGCTTGGTTTCTTCTGATCAGAAGCCCTTTTCAAGTCTCCGTGGTCAGAGTCACCACCTATTGTCTAACCAGCCACGTGGTAAATACCCTGTTAGGAAAAACAGGCCCGCTTTCTCTACATTAATATCTCAGAGACAGGGCAGGAAGATGACCTTCTAGCCGACGTGAAGTCTAAGGAGGCCCATAGCATCCAGATCCAGCTCCGCTCACTGCTGCACCCAGGCATGAAGGAGGAGCCCAAATCCCCACATGCAGCCCAGAGAGGCTGGCAGCCCGACAGGCGAAAGTCTGTGCAGGCTCAGTTCATTCCTAGACTAAGAGAGAAGACAGGAAAGAAAACCCCACACAACCTACAGGGCAGACCATGCCTCCTGCAGACAGACCCAACCTCGGCTTGTTCTCAAGCTGCTCCGTGTGTGCCCTTCTCACACTCCTCTAGAGGCCCTCAGAGCCTCTGCTGAACGCTGACCTCCTAGTATAGCACAGGGTGCGGCTGCCGGGTCACTAAGGGTGTCAGCTGCTGAGCTGTGAATCCCCTAACGTCAATTTGTACCTTTTATTTCTAATAAGGAAGGCAACATGTACGGATTCTTGTCTGTATCTTATTCCCTGTCTGCAGTGCCTCCTGCTATTCAAAAACATGATTTTGGTGCTCTGCTTTCGATATCATGGGATTAACAAACCCCTCCCTGTAAACTAAATTTCATTTAAATTAATTTGGGGGATTGTTCCCAAATACTACACTCCTTTGATAAGATGACAGTTAACATGTTTTAAGCACTAACCACAGGCAGAACACTATTCTAAGTGTTTTGCTCATTTAATCCTGACAAGCTTGTAAAACTCTATCATCCCCACTTTACTGATAAGGTAATGGAATCACAGGAAGGTGAGGTATACTACAGGTATAGATTTGCTATTTTGTTCCAAATTCCACACTGACTTCTGCCCATATAGAATGTTAGGGGACAAAACAACAAGGACCAAAAAGACACGGAGCAGAACAACAAAAGAAAAGAACCTAAGGGGCTGGGGATTTAGCTCAGCGGCAAAAGCGCCTGCCTGGCAAGCGCAAGGTCGTGAGTTCGGTTCCCGGTACCAGA